CTCCGTTTTGGTCACCAACACAAACACAACCAGTGTCATTGCAATAAGCGATACTAGTGATGCGCGAGGAAGATCTGCTCGGATTTAGACCATCCAATAAGGACTGTATGTGATGTGAACCGGTCGGTCTTATGGTCAAGTCGATCCGATACAACGCACTACATGTTGTCAGAACGAGGCATTGTGTATAGATTCCATGATCGTCAGACGCAGGACGCTTTCCTTTTGGTTGGATGGAATGATCCGTGTGTTCAGGCAGCACAGAACAATCTGAATCTTCTCGGTCTCCGATGGAACCGTATGGATGGGAACCTGAGTTAATCAGACACACCTGAACGGGGAGATCGCGGCCAACCAGAGGAACTTGAACGAATGGTTTCGAGCTCAGGAACGGCTGACTGGTTTCCGTACCACGAGGATCATACCTGTGGGAATGAAGGAAATGTCACGGTTTCAGTAACCGCAGATGATAATTCTGTTTCTGAGAATAATAATAATAAAGAACAATATACCGCGGACTCGTGGAAGGATGTGCCAATAATTCCAGGGGTAAACTTCAAACATGTTGCGGTTTGTTAGNGGAAAAAATGGTGACGAACAGTTAGTGATTGAGCGAGTAGGGAATGGTGAACTTTAAAAAGTGGAATCAACTGAATTTATGTTATAACTAAAAAAGTCACATCGCTTCGTATATGGTTTCGTGGACGTATCTTATTCTTAGTGAAGTGAGACACCGGAATCATAGAAATGGGATTCAATAGCTGATCCATTGTCTTACTGATATAATTCTGAGTTTGAATACGTCACGTGAGTGTAAACATTTAACATTTAAGTCTCTTCTCAGATTTGGACATTTAAAATAAAGATACCTGGTCAAATTTACGAATTTGTATTAATTTATTCGACCTACACTTTTTCAACATATATTCTTGTGCATAAAAAAATAGTCTAGTAACCACCTACTCTTCGGCAATAGTGCCCGTAGTGGTGAACCCCAGTAGAGTAGTCGTGGTACTGAAACAGTTGCGATTACTAGACGATATCAAAATGAAAGAGATTTTTATACAACATACAGACTAGGAAATGTGTAAATGAACCTTCCACATGGTTATTAAAACGGTGTCCGATATTTCGATATGGAAATCTTTGCGATGACCGGCAAAGAGCACGGGACAGCTGTTCCGTCATGTTTGGGACTCGTTTTAGTGCGTACCTTATGCGTCCCTATCAGGCCTAGAGCCGAAAACATTCGAGTGGGGACTTCAAACGATTACCTCTGAGCGACATGGTCGATATTCACCATCCAAAGGTCTCCGATATTTATGAACTTTATCTTTCATCGCTATTCTGCACACACACACACACACACACACACTGCACAGAATAATGGGCTATACATCAAACGAGAATAAAATAAGCGAAACAAACACCGTATTGTCATCAACGCGATTATCAATGTTTAAAATGCAAGCAGTAGCAGTATAACAAGTTTGAACCCCAAATTTTGGTGATACTATGTCCAAGCAATAACTTAGTCAGATAGATGCAATTGTTGTATGAGAGGGTGAACACTCTGTGATAACGGATTTACCACCCCAACTAATGTTTCCCTGGTTGCTGGCCACACTATCCAGGAGCCTCTCCCGCTTAATACTGTTTCACACATTAGTCAATACCTCCATTGCGCACTTCAAGTTTCTTTCGTTTGAATCCTTGCCATACTGCTCAGTGAAATTGATTGCACCGGTATCATATATTGCTATTAGTTTCCCAAATTGTAGAATATTCCTAATAAATGAACGATANGTGTAGAAGCTCATTCCCTAATGTCAGTGAAGGTGACATGGTTCGAATCTTGGATACCGCCCGACAGCCTCAGTATGGTCCGGGGTGGGCGTCTAGGGTAGAGGCTGGTCACCCTTCCCTTGCACCTCACGAAATGCTCCAATACGACCAAGCGTCTCAAATGGACTCAGCTGAGGTCGCTATACTCACTGCCTTCTCGTGTTTCCCACCGAAGTGAGAGGACGAAAAGCCGACATCCGGGGCTATAACCGGGTTGGTGGACCTCTGGTAGTTCACCTAGGGGAGTTGGCCCAAAACCCTGATTTATGCATTGTTAAAAGCAGACGATCAAGTAAAACCAGTGGACTAGGTTGGGCAGGCCGACTTCTGCTTATCGTTGGGGTGCAAATGATACAAACTATTAAGCACTGGGGTCTATTCTAGTTTAGTCTAAATATAATCGGCAAACGTTGGATTTATTTTTATTGAGGATGAAGAAGGAATCATCTTTCATTTGTGTGGCGAGTGATTCGAGGTGAAAAGCAAACTGAAATATTCCCACCATCAGCTTATACCTGATATTTCGTCAGGTGTGCATTTCAATGCCAGAAATACATAAGCAATCGCATTTTATTCAAAGGAATCGGTTTTATTCGAGAAACTCGGCCTCAAAGGAATCTACTCATCGGATCATTGAGGGCTTAGACTGACTCCACTCATGCCATGCATCACCTTCACATTCACGTCTGGACATGGTGACCGACTTATCGATCCATCTTAACGTGATTCGCTTCCTTACCCGACCGACAAAGGTCAATTAACTCCGGGTTCGTTCTATGACGCACACTCGATCAAGGATCACGGACATAATGTTCCCGAGTGGAACGGGTGTGTGTGTGGGGGGGGCACCTCACGTCACCAAAACATTCATCCTCGCTCAGTAACTCCGAGTGAGTCGGCCACCAGACCCAGACGTGAATGTGAGCATGGTTCATGACATGAGTGGAGTCCGTCTAAGCCCTTAATGACCCGATGAGTATATTCCATTGAGGCCGAGTACTTTTCGTTGTTTACGGAGAAGTTAGTTCATTCGAACTGGACGGAGTTTAGAAAGACCCGGTACAACCGGTGACATTTGACGGCCGAAACATCAATCATCTTGTGGGGTTCCCAATGGAGTGCGATTGGTTGGATTCATTTGAAGTTACAACGGATTCATTGGAAGTTAAAAAGGTATATATAAACCCTGTCCACTGAGGACCGGTGCTTCCTCGACTTCGCACTGATGTCGCCTAGCTTGGCCACGAAACGTCTGCGGACAACACTTCCAGGTTGAAGAACTCACCAACACCAACTCTCCGGTTATGGTTTCCAAAGAAAACCCCCTCGTCGGTGTGGGCTACCGCGAAGTATGCCGTGCCCTAAAGTCTTAGGCATCCATTTGGGAAAACCATCTTTCCCATCTGTCCAGTTCTTCTTAATCCGAATAATCCCAGATGCGTCCTGTTCACGCCATCTATCGAATATCAATCAGCGTTTTACAAGCAAGGCCAGGCAATCAGAAGTTATACGACTTTTAAAGCCAAAATCCTCTTTACACCTAGCCGCGTTCAATGTCTGCACACTCTATTTGATCGGACAACAAGCTGCCCTTGAAACTTTTAATTTAGATGTATGCCGTGTGTCCGAAACACGCATACAAGACCCCAATCGCATTATCTCCCTGCGTTCTCCTGATCCAACCTCAACCTCACACTTCACCCTTCGTGTGTCAGGTGATTCAGCATTCGAAGCTCGCAGTATTGCTGGTGTTCGGATGGTGCTAAGTGCCACGGCTGAGCGCTCGCTTCTTGACCAGATTTCAGACAGTACAGTACAGACTGTGTGCTGTACGTCTCAACGGTTCAGCACGGGTCGACAACTATAGATCGAAGCATCGATGCTTGTTCGTCGTATCGGTGTATGCACCGACCGATCGCAGTACACCTGAAATCAAGGATGAATTTTACAATTATTCCGAAGTGTTCGATCAACGAACGTCGTAGTAGTCGCGGGAGACATCAATGCTCAAGTGGGATCCTTGGACGAAAGAGAAAGGCTTCTTGACGGACAGATTGTCTCTGTCAAGCACGAACTTCTCACACAAAAAAACATCACCGCCTCACATGGAAACCGTCAACCTCTTCATTCCGCTGGACCCAGATCGATCACACCGTCATCAGTTACCGCTGGAGGGGATCAATTCAAGACTGCCGCTCTTACTGGTCAACAACTTTGGATACAGACCACGCCTTATTACGAGTCGAATTCTCCTTACGCCTGGCAAACAACCGCAAAAAAGACATCGATAACGGATACCCACGATACAGCGTCAGCGATTTATGCAAATCGACCTTCGAAGCAGAGCTCTCCGATCGCCTGTCAGTTCAACCACCCAATGAACATTGGAAGCAAATCAAGGAAGCTATGCAAATATCAATAAAAACAACGTCGGACCCTGCCGCAAGCTCAAAACACAAACAATGGATATCGTCGACCTCGGCTGCCCTGCTGGACGCCCGCAGAACCCTCCCTCCCGATGCCACATATGACACAGCGCGCAAATTCCTTAAGCGCCAGCTCATCAAGAGTATGAGGGATGACCGCGAGAAGTCGTGGACAGGAAAGTGTAGAGAGATGGAGAAGGCTGCGGCTATCGGTAATAGTCGCAATCTTTTCCGTCTAATTAGGAATGCAGGCCCTAGGAAAGTAGGCTTAGGTGAGGTAATTAGGAAATCCGATGGCACACTGATTCACAGTAAGCAACGCCGTCTTGACCGTTTGGTTGAACATTTCGAGGCTCAGTTCAACTGGCCCCCGTGACATCTGATCTTTCACCCTCTACCCTGACTGGGCAAATACTGCCAGTTGATGCTAGTCCTCCATCTGAAATGGAGGTCACCCGAGAAATAAGTTATCTCAAACAGCCCCGACGGGTTGTCCCCATTGGGTTTTAAGAATGGAAGTTCCGCCTTGGTTTTGGATTTAACAAAATTCCCGGACTCAGTGTGGGAGAGCGAAGAGGTTCCAGCTGAATGGTGTGAATCGGTCATCATACCGACATGCAAGGTGTCAGGTTCTTTTGTGAAAACCACAGAGGAATTGGTGCAATCAACATTGCTTCCAAACTTGTCTCTGGCATCATACTCCCACGGTTGTCTGCCGAACGTAAACGGTGCACGCATAAGAATCAGGCTGGTTTTAGACCCGTTCGAGGTTGTATTGACCACATTTTCAATCTCCGCCACTTTCTGGAGCATCGACATTCCTTTTGTGGACCCACCATCCCTATCTTCCTGGATCTGAAAGGGGCTTTCGACTCAGTCGACCTCTCTAAACTCTGGCGCTGCCTATCCCTGAAGGGTGTGCCCTAGAAGTTAATTTTAATATATCAATCCCTGTATGCTAATAATAGAAGTCCAGTCCGGGCTTACGGCACTTTCACCCGAGTTCACCACAGAAAGTGGTGTTCTTCAGGGTTGCCGCCTCTCTTCCTTTTCTATTCAACTTGGTTATAGATTTGATGATGGAAACAGCCCTATCCTCGTGCTAGGGTAGCTGTGTCGATTTACTCCCAGGAGGCAGACTGTCTGATCTAGAGTATGCAGACGACATTGTGCTGCTAAGTGAAGATCCAGGTAGGTTGCAAGCCTTTTTGAACAGCTTGAATGCCAGTCTAGCCATGTTCGGTATGCGTTTTGCACCTTCAAAGTGCAAAATGTTACTACAAGACTTGGCTGGTAAAGCACCCAGACTCACTCTAACTGGGGAAGTAATAGAGCAGGTGGATAAGTTTTGTTATTTGGGCAGCTACATCTCACCCGGTGAACGCATCACGGATGAAGCGTCAGCTCGCATACAGAAGCCTCCGTTGGCATGTGCCAACTTGAAACATCTGAGCGACGTCGCGACATCGGATTGTCTGTGCAGAGCCGAGTGTATACCGCCACAGTTTGGCCAGTTCTGCTATACGGCGTAGAAACTTGGCCATCAAGAAAACAGGACAAAGACAGAGTGTCGGTGTTTGAACACCGCTGCCTACGCAGCATTATACGAATCTGGTGGGGTAGCCAGACGAGCAATGCTGAGGTTACGCGCAGAGTTTTGAGTAACTGCGGTCGCCCACTGGAGCAAGTGGTCGACGTCCATCATCATCATCAACGTACAGCGAAATACAGAGAAGCGAAATTCACTGATCGCTGCCAAACTCGCAATGCATATGCACTGAGGTTTGATCGAAGGATACTGCTAAGCAGGACCTCGACCTCGACCTCCATAGATAGACGTAACCGATAGAGACACTGAGTGATATGACTGAGTGTCGTAAACAGTGGTGTTCGTACATCTTCTCAATTACTTTGCAACCTTAGATCACTGAAATTCTCCATTTTCTGTTCGACTCTTCTTCAAATTTTCTTGTCTTCTATTCCTCATCTATGCATGGTTAACGGTTGTACAAACTCAAACTGAACTGACATATTGTTAGCTGTGCATGAGAAATACCGAAGGATGGCTGTTAACCCAGGCTTACAACTATATGGAATTGCGTTTGTTATTGTTTGAGTGTACTCTAACACAGTGCAAAAGCACTGTCCAATAACAGTACGACAATAGTTTGTATATCGCTTTTCTAACTCATATGTCCTCTCCTTTTTTTTAGCTTCCATACGTACACTGTATGTCGAATAAAGCCTAGCGTTTGGGCCTTTCTCGTTCTGGTTTTTCGTGGATGCTGCAATAACATTACACAGTGCACATGTGTTAATGTAACGGGAACAAAGTTTATCAAGTAAACATAAATAGCAGACAATGGAAGTTGAAGCTCTTTTCTCGGCTTCTTACATAATCACCGTTCAATTAGTATAGCATGAGATGAAGTGCACAAAATAAAGCGAATAAAACTCCAATTTTGATGTGTCAGTTCAACGTACCCGAAGAGCAGTAATCCACCACTAGCAGATTGAGCATTCTCATCCAAAGTCGACACGCCCACAGTCTCATCCAGTCCTGTGCCAACACATACTAACAAGCCTTGGCCATAGATCACAGACGCGTCCGGGTCATGTTCCGGCCTGTTCGGACGCGGTGCGCTGCGTTTGGGTTCAACCGGATCAGGTTCAATGGGGGCTAAAACAGGACAAAGTTGTATGATGCGACCTGGAGCGCGTTGAGCAGGCGGTAATCGTAGCAGTTCGATCAGCGCTGGGGCATACGCACTGGTCATCTCTGGATCACTGCTTCGGCCGACACGTCGACGAGAATGATCACGACGATGATGGCGGTGGGAATGGGAACTGCTGAAATAAGGAAGAGGATCATCGGATGACGGTTTTGGTTTGACAGTGGTCTCGATGGGAGGCAGCACATCGGTTGGATCTTCTTCCACTAGATGATGGAGATCAAGGGCCTGATAAAATTCGATTGCTTTTTTAACCTGTAAGTAAACAAGGAATGAAAAGTTTAGAAAACCCATCAACCTGTGAAGAAATCCGTAAAATTAGGTACGTATTGATAGAAAAGAAAGTTTTTGCATGACACGTAACGGTCGCAAAATAGTACCCAAAATGATTAATCACATTTTAACCACTGAAAGGAAAAAAGAAATCCGGAACTTACCGAAGCTTTGTTTTTGTCCAAGGAAAAGATATCACAGAGTATATATCTTAATACATCTGTCGCGCTACCAGCTAAATTAAGAATTCGAAGACCCTGATATCAAACCTACCAAGAGAAAACGAACGAAATGCCTCCATGATACGGGTTCTGAAGGTTTCACTTCGATATGATACCATATCTCAAGGGTACAAGATGGAACCGCTTGAACATTGAATCCCAATGCACTGTGACTACTACACAACATGCACCATCTCGCGAATCAGACTTTGGATAAAGAAGGAAACGGTTGTGAACCCCTAACAAAATCATTTGCTCTGTTTTAGCATTGCCCGAAGTTGCAATGTTGATGTTGCCTAGCCTGGCTACGAAACCTCAGTGAACAACATTTCCAGCTTGGAGAAAATACCAACAACATCCGCATCCCGAGCTACAATAATTCCACATTATTTCCAATGTGCATGCCCTAAATTAATTGGAACAGCCTGAAACTAAACACGTATAAAGTGTAAAGATACACTGCTGCCGAGCATGCAGCAAATGCAAATGTGCAAATTGGGTAGAGAACAAAGTGAACCAATGCAGCCAGGACCAAAAAAACACATGGTTTAATAGAAGCACAAACAACTAGCTTTGCTGAAGAATGAAGACAAGAACGATACTGACACAAATTTGGTGTCGTCTTTTGGCGTCTACAGGTTATTTGAATACCAACCCAGGGACCAAGACACATACGATATCTAATTACTTGATTCAATTCATTAAACCGCTGATAAGTTATCTACTAACTTCGCGCGGTTTCCCAAAACCTGAAACATAAACGGTACATCGGGTGCGACACCGTAGATGAGTGACAGACATGGGGGCTGGTGGTTAAGTGTCCTGAAAGTCCCGGGTTCGAGCAGCCCCACCGTTGCCAAACTTCCCTATTTCTTTATTTTCCCAGGCAACTTTTGTATTGTCGCGATCCCCTTTCTGAAGGTTGATTCTACATTTGTATATTCAATAAATAAAAAATATTTTAATTTTTTGGATCGTATATATATATATATATATATATATTAACACCAATCTTTACAGATACGGCGCCAAAAATAACCATGGGTGAACGAAAAATATAGGTACAAAAACGGGAATAATAAAACAGTCAACTTCGAGGAGTAAGTTTTTTGTTTGTATCTAGATCGTTGACCATAGTATTTTAGAAGAGATTCATCTTCATACAAGGATGTCCATTATTGCTGCTCCCATGTTGCTGAATTCCTTCCAAACGTGCCAGAATAAACAAATAAAGCGATGATTGAAAACTTCCAATCTACAGGAGTAACCTGTACGCGACATTTTAACCGTAATGGAATGTTTTACAAACACACTCGGTACATTGAAGGGATTAATAATTTATTACAGACCAACGAGTGATAAACAGTAGATGGATTGAATCTGGTTATCATTAGGATCAAGTAGACAAATATGGTGACCGGTAGTCTAAACCTTTAGGCACGGATTGACGATCATATCCATTTTGCCATAAAAATACATACTGGTTTTACCAGAAAAAGAGATTGGGAATCATAAAAACAAAACGTTTAGTAACTAATACTAATACTATTAATACGAATGACGAGTGTCAATGTGAACACAA